CCAAGCATTTGTAAGAGAAAATTAAAAGAAAAAGAAGAAAACAAATTGGTCAACAGAATATCAAAATTAGTTGTATTAATATAGTGTGGTGCATAGATAGATAAAAATGTTTGAAGAAGAGAGAACAGCGAAGAAACAGAAGACAAGAGACGGTTTGAAAGAACGAACTGATGCAATTGCAAAGTGCAACCACAAAACATTCACACTCGTGCTATCTCGGGAACATCTCATGTTTTTATATTTTCTCATAATTAATAATATCAGAAGTAAACTCTGTGTCAATATAATTTGGACTTTTATCCTAAGATCTTCGAGTTCACACATTGCGACCAACAGATTTTTACTTTCAAACCCACGATCTTTGACCCATATTCACATGTTTGATATTGCAATAAGCAATTAGCTTGAAACTAGTAATCAATATGTTACAATATAAGTAATATTGATTGTTATTGTATATCTAATGAAGTGGTTAATTGCAATATATAATGTTTCGATTTTCATTTGGTTTGTTTGGTTTTTAATTTTCTCGATTTCGAGAAAAAATGTTATTGAATTAATTAAATATAAAAACTAGGTCTTTTTTCTAACTAGGTCAATGTGATTTTACATATTAATAAATTAGAAACAATTTAACCGAAAAGTGAAAAAACATTGTAGATTAAACATAATAATTTTATTGGGTCGGTAGACTACTCAGTTTCTGTGCTACTTAAAAGGATATTGAACTGATCAGTTTATACAATTTTTAAATAAGTTTCAATCTTATTTATTTAGATTTTCATTCTTATTATACACCCATGACAAATAGCAACGTATAAATAGTCTATAGAGGACCATATAATAGTTTATCGTATCATGGCTACAAAAGTGAGAAAGAAAAAAGGTATGTCAATGTTGTTTTCTGATTAAGAATATTTCAATATTGTTACAATCGCATGAACGCATGATTGACTTCCTTAACATTCGAACTTAGAAAAGAAAAACATATATGTATAAATATTTGTTAGAAAAGCATGTGTTAGAAGCGTATGCATGAATCGGAAACGTGTATGAAAAAAAAAACTTTTAAAAAGAAAATGAGAAAGAAAAAAAAACAGCAAACAAAAATTGAAATCTTTATACAAAACAGTAAAATACACATTTACGTGTAGATGAATAAGAAATTGGAATTACCATTCCCAAGTAATATGTTTCTGAAACGGAGCCGACATGGAGACGAGACCACCAAAGCAAGTGCTGTCTTAGATCACAACTATCTCCTTTCCCAAAGCCATCAATATATTATCCCCACAACACCTAATTGTTTTATCAATATATAACCTCTCTCCATAAATAGGTATACACACACATAATTATCGGTATTCGATGTTTGAGGCAGAGAACAAGCATCTATATCCTTGATTCATGTATATACTCAAGGATATAGAGGATTAATTAGTTTCTGTCTTGGGGACCAATAGCTTCACGTACTATTTAAATTTCGAAATTTTATACCACTACTTTATATATCCGATTCTAGAGAGGATTTAGTGACATGATAGAAACACATGTTGATTCGTAACTTGCATGCATGGAGACATTGTGTGGTACTTTCTTTCTTTTTTGGACAAAAGGAGACGTTTTGGTACTTTTATGATTTTTAAATTTTACAAACGGATTCTTTCGTTTGTTTTTTTTACGAACGAATTTTAATTATAACTGAGAAAATAATTAAATTCTTTTATAAACTAAACAAAATTAATTCTTGAAATATTGTGACTTTAAACAACTTCACTCTAGACAGTAGACACCATTGAAGCGGTACTGTTAAATGCTAATGATATCGGTCCGGTGAAAGGCATTGCTTAAGAATCCATAAAATCTCAATACAGTAAATATGTAATGATATGGTGTTTTTATTTTTTTCGTTGAAAGTTTAATCTTGTGTTATTTGATGTTTCCAATTCATGTGAGACCATCCTACACAAAAGAAACTTTCTAATCACTATATGTTAGTTAAACAGAATTATACATATTTATCTCCAATTCCAATACATGAATTTTAAGATATAATTTCTCACCCTGAATCTTAAGTACAAGGATCTAATATTTGACTTTATAGTGCATATACATACATAACATACATATCCACCATTGCGAGTCCCAAAGATGGTTTCTTTATTGCTTCTTCAACTTTCTTCTTAGGTCTTTTCTCCCTCTACCTTCTCCGTACCCTTCTTTATCATAATGAATAATCTTCCACCGCTTCGTCACATCTCAAACGTTACATACATACATCTATATATATACACTCACACACTCATATATATCTATCTACACACACTCACACTCACATCCCTATCTCATCTCTCTCTCTCTCTCTCTCTCTAGCACATACCCATCAAACCATATAGATACAGTGCTTTTCTTCTTGATCTTCTTCTTCTTCTTTGTCTTCTCCTCAAAGCCATGTCTAATCCAGCTTGTTCCAATCTCTTCAACAATGGATGTGACCATAATAACTTCAACTATTCCACTTCTCTCTCTTACATTTACAACTCTCACGGAAGCTACTATTACTCTAATACCACAAACCCTAATTACATTAATCATACTCCTACCACTTCCACTTCCCCTAACTCACCTCCACTAAGAGAAGCTCTTCCTCTTCTTAGCTTAAGCCCCATAAGGCACCAAGAACAACAAGATCAACACTATTTCATGGACACCGATCAAATCAGCTCTTCAAACTTTCTTGATGATCCTCATGTTACTGTGGATCTTCATTTAGGGTTACCAAACTACGGTGTTGGTGAGAACATTAGGAGCTATATAGCTCCTAATACAACCACGGACGATCAAGATCATGACGGAGGTGTAGAAGTCACAGTTGAGTCCCACCTTCATGATGATGATGATCATGGAGATCTACACAGAGGTCATCACTATTGGATTCCTACTCCTTCTCAGATTTTGATTGGTCCTACACAGTTCTCTTGTCATCTTTGCCTCAAGACATTCAACAGATACAACAACATGCAGGTATGACACCATTGATTCAAGAATCAACTCTAAAGACTTAACTCATTTCAAGATTTTATTGGTTGTTCTTCAAAACAGATTTGAGTCTATTGTTTTATGGTTTTTGTTTGTGTGTTTTGTGTGAGGCTAAGTACAAACTCGTTATTGATTCATGGATCTTTAGGGGTATCATTAATAGTGGTAATTAACAAGTACTAGTACTTTTGGTAATTACTACTTTGCCTTGATATTTTTAGTAACTCGAGAATAATTAACTTTTAAAAATTTGATGGTACACGTCTAATCAGTTTCAGGGTGTTGAATGATGATGGCTATGTTAGATCGACCTATCAAAGGGGTTTAAGTCGGAAGATTTTCTTTAACCAACAGTCTTTTTGTCAGACTAACTCTTATAACCCTGAAATATGCTTTAGTACACCTACATCTTTATTGTCTGTCTTGAATTTTGTGAACGATCATAACACTCCAAAAAAAGTTTATTAGACAGCTAAGACATAAGGTAAATGTCTAGCTGATTATTTGGGAATAGAGACTTTATTTTGTTTATATCTATTAGTAATATGTTTTGTTTATACTATTAGTAATATTACCCCAAAGATATATACAGTTTAAATTTATCTCATGCCAAAAGTAAATTTTGACATGAAATAAAAAGAAAGCTAAGATCTAGATCTCCATATTCACTTAAAGTGTTTGATATCTCACAGTTATATATATCTTAAACCCTGTTTTTTTTTTTGTTAAAGCAGATTTATATCTTATACTGTATAAGGTTGGATTTTTTTTTGTAACGTTTATGTTCCATATGTTAAATGATTGTGTTCATTTTAAAATAGTAACATAACATTTAATGTTATTAATGAAATACAAATACAAACTCAAACAAAAGAAAATAAGTTTGGCTTTAAGTTTGCATTTACGAATTTCAAATGTTGGTAAACATAATTATTTTTTATATAATTCGTAAACATATAGACTTTAACTAATCTTACTTAAATTCTTTAGACTGACCTTTTTGTTGTATCCGTTACCTGTAAAACGTTTTATCATAGATGCACATGTGGGGACACGGCTCACAATACAGAAAGGGACCAGAATCCTTGAGAGGAACCCAACCAACGGGAATGCTAAGACTACCATGTTTCTGCTGTGCACCAGGCTGCAAGAACAACATTGACCACCCGCGAGCCAAGCCTCTTAAGGACTTTCGAACCCTCCAAACACATTACAAACGTAAACACGGGTCTAGACCATTCGCTTGTCGTAGGTGTGGTAAGGCCTTTGCAGTGAAAGGAGATTGGAGAACGCATGAGAAGAATTGTGGAAAGCTTTGGTATTGCTCTTGTGGTTCTGATTTTAAGCACAAGAGGTCGCTTAAGGACCATGTCAAGGCCTTTGGAAATGGTCATGTTCCTTGTGGGATTGATAGTTTTGGAGGAGAACATGAAGACTACTATGAGGCTGCTTCTGATATCGAGCAACAAGACGATAGCAACAACAATGAGTGTTAATTATGAGTTTTGTTTCCTTGTCCTCTCATGCATCAGTTGATTGTTGCATGTGTTCTTTAGTTTTGTTCTTCGGATCTTAGTTTTATTTTCTTTTGTGCTGCTTTTTTTTTAATTACTAAGTTACCGTTAGCTTGAGATACTTTTAAGTAATAGAACAAATTAAAGACTTGTGGTGCAAGCTTAAATCAAAAAGCCAAAGAAAGCCTAAATTTTAAATTTAAATATGTCATTTTTTATACATTTTTACACAAATTGTTGATACTTAGGTTTTGAAAATGCACTCATAGGTTTGGTATTTCTCCCTGTTTTGATGTTCCAATGATTTATGAAGTTGTGTGACTTGTGTCTGTCTATTGCTAGTTTAGTTATATGATAGTAGATTTGATATCTGAAACATGAGGGTTTCAAATCTAACTATCTCCCTCGTTAATTTTATAATTTTTAATTTTTAGATGCTACTTTAACAATGAAAACACTTTTTTATTGGATAAACCTTTTAAAATGCTTTATTCATTTAGAATCATATCTTTATAGAGAGCTCAATTCTTTGACAAGTCTTTCTAAATCAGCGGTAGAGCTTCCTCCTGCTTCAGTTGCAGCTTGTGCCTTCTGTCCCATCTCCTTAGCCCGAGCACGCGCCTCGCATCCACGCTCACCCATTGTTTCACCTATGACCCGACTCAACTCATGCGGGTCAGGCACAGTCTTACCCCCTTCACATACACTAACCGCCACACCCATATGCTCCACTAGCAACCTCGCATCTACAAACTGGTCTGCTTCCATGGGCCAAGCCAAGATCATTTTTCCACTAGCCATTGCTTCGAGCACCGAGTTCCATCCGCAGTGACTTAAAAACCCGCCAACCGCCACATGACTCAACATAAACACTTGAGGAGCCCACCCTCTAACAATCATTCCTTGACCTGCGACCCGATCCTCGAACCCATCGGGTATCGGGTCTTTCTTAACCACCCAAACGAACCGGGTCATACTATTTTCAAGACCTAGAGCCAGAGCATCACACTGCTCTTTGGTTAATACCTTTTGACTTCCGAAGCAGATGTAAAGCACTGAATCATCTGGACATCCATCGAGCCAACTCAACAACGCCTTTGCGTCTACATTGGATTCGGAATCTTCCCTACGTAACCCGATTGAAGAAAGCGGACCAACACCGAAAACCCGATTCTCACTCACATTCTGCTTCACATACTCCATGTACTCCTCTTCCAAACACTCACAAGTATTGAAAATACAACCATAACTCGAAAAATTCATGGTACTGTCTTTAACACTTTCGAGATCTTGCGATGATGGAGACTGAGGGATCAAAGACGGGAGATGCTCTGTTTTAAAAACAGGGGAACGAGGAAGATCCGATAAACAGACAGGCTCAGTTGATTCAAAGAGATGAGGCTTGTCCGAGACAAAATGGAGAATCGAAGCTAAGAATGCTCCAGAACTGAAGAAAGCAAAGCGAGGGATACCAAGATCCTTGGTCCATCCAAGGAAGAAATCAGAAATGAGAGCGACCGGTGGATTGGGATGAGAACTTAACCAGTTGACGATAGGCTCTCGAAGCTGACGAAGAGAAGCCATCATCAGGGGATTTCCGTAACCACCGAGGTCTTTAACGTTTTCAACGCCGGAAGGGATCAAAGGATGGTGAGGGAAAGGTAAAGTAACGACGGAAACGGCGGATGGATGAGCGGAGAGAAGAGAAGAGAGGTAAGGAAGGTTTTTAGGAGTGACGATGATGGAGACTGTGAGGCCACGAAGACAGAGTTGATGGGTTAAGTCGAGAAGAGGAAGCAAGTGGCCTTGTGCTGGATATGGAAACACCATGATATGCGGTTTTAAACCGCCGCCTTTAGTTTCAGGTGGCGGCTGCGGTATTGCTACGTTCATTTCGCTGTTGTTGTTTACTCACGGTGGTGATATAGAGAGTGATGTACGTTGACATGTGCATTGGCATTGGCATTTTATATGTCTACATTATGATTATTGTGTCTAGATTTTTTGTTGACCAAAAAACCGAAAAACATTATTCTTAATTTTTTTCTTTTTTGAAATTTGTTAAATACTTAATTGATGAGATTATATATAGCATGTGTAAAGTTTCATTTGGATACAAAAGGGAGAAAAAATCAAAGTTAAAGTCAATTAGTTGTATCCTCTAAAGTCTATAAACTAATAAATAGATAAAAATCTAGTAAAATTAAATGCAAAAAATCATGATTCATGAGAGTTGATTATATTGACAATGAGATTTTTTACTTAAAGAGAAAATAATAAATGGTAAATGAAAATGTTTTAATTTATATATATATATATATATATATTTCTATGTTATTTTAATTAATTTGAAGAAAAATACGTAAATTAGAAGAAAAAAAATAAATTGGGAAATCAGAAATTTCCTTCTATTTATATTTATATTTGATGATGTTGTTAAATAAAATTAAATCAAAAGTATTTGCTACTGTAAATATTTATTATTTTTATTTGTTAAAATATTTTGAAATTGATAGATTTTTTTGTTTTGGTATTTTGGTGAAATCAAACAAAACTAATTGCGGAATCATAGTACGTAGAACATGCGGTGATGGGGTTGTATGAGGAAAACGAACGTAAGCTTTGTTTGCAAAATCTTGCCGTTGAGATACTGACACGTGACTTTGGTTAAACTCACTGGGTCGGCGAGACAATCGGTGAACCAACAGCGCATCAGTTATCAGTGATGATGACTCATCAGAAAAGCCGTAAAATCAAACAAGGCCGTTTCAAAAACATTTTCGATACGATGGCGTGGCGTCTGCGGAAATCGAAACGCTGATGTTTGAAGCAATTCCATACGGTGCCGTTTATAGGGAAATGAATGAACCAACGTGGTTTAGTCAACTCGATGAAGCCGTTTAGGGAAAATGAAGACGTCATACGATACCGTTTAAGGCAACTTCATACGACACCGAGGATTCGAAGAACCTATATACGATGCGTTTAGTAACCAGATACGACGCCGTTTATAGCAAGTCAAAATGACGCCCATACGACGCCGTTTAAGTCAAGTCACACGACGACGTTTCTGCCATATGAATACGATGTCGTTTAAGGCAATGAATACGACGACGTTTATGGCAACTCAATACGACAACGTTTAAGGCAACTGAATACGATGACGTTTAAGGCATATGATACGATGTCGTTTAAAGCAACTCAATACGACGACGTTTCAGATATATGAATACGCTGTCGTTTTATGGAAACTTGATACGACACCGTTTAAGGAAACTTAAAACGACGCCGGTTAGTCAAGTCGATACGCTGCCGTTTAACTTAAGACAACACGACACCGTATAAGGAAATTTGACACGACGCCGTTTAAGGAAATTAAATACGACGACGTTTAAGGAATATGAATACGCTGTCGTTTAAGGCACCTCGATGCGACACCGTTTAGAATATTATAAGACGACGCCGTCGAAGTCAAGTTGATACGGCGCCGTTTAACTAAAGGCAACACGACAAAACTGGACACGACGCCGTTTACGGCATAGGAATATGATGTCGTTTAAGGCACCTCGATACCTTAAGAGAATTCAAGACAACGCCGTTTATGTCAAGTTGATACTTGATACGATGTGTTTTACGCAATTGAGACGATACCGCTTGGAGCTTTTGTGTTCTTCCCGATCATCTCCATCTCTCACTAATAGGTTTATAGAAGAAACGGGCAAAAGAGAGAGAGAGCAGAGAGGTGACACTTTACAGCATCACCGAACCTTTTATTTCAGAACACAAACACTATCCACATCCCAAGACCAAAACCCACTTTTATAGGAGCTTGTGTGGAGGGTTGACCAACTAAAACTCTCCATTCCATCAAACTTACCCGTTGCCACAACAACTCAACAAGTACATACTCTGCAACTGACACCGCCTATCATATCCCACATCTTCCACGGTCTGTTTAAAAACGGGCTTAGGCCAAAATGTTCCACGTAGGACTTAAGGTACTGGACAATCTTTGTTGGTTAGGTAGGGTCGGTTGAAGACTCAGAAAGGCAAGGCATCAATGGAAGCTGGCAGGAGTATTTAGGAAAATTAAGTCGGAGATGATAATATGTTTTGAGCTGCCATAATAAGGCTATGCGACTGTGGCCAGTCCCTACAGCCCGGCATTATCTGTATTTGCTAAATTAAACTACTATTGTGTTTCTAGTTTTGTTCTTCATTACTATGAAACACAAAGAACATTCAATAGAATGCACGGGTAAGAATTTTAATAAGTAATAAATGAGTCTTCGGAGTGAGTGGTTTTGGGAGTTAACCGGTTTATCCGATTCTGCACGTTCGTAACCAGAACAGGAAAAAATGAGCTCTCAAGTTTTTTAGCGACCCATACATATATTAAAAGCTCATGACTTTTCAAAGTTACATAGCTCACCGCCTCACCCCAACCAGAGACCTAAAACATCCATTGAATGACAAACACAAGCCTTTTTTAAATAAGCTTAATGTAGCTACATAGACAATCTCAATATGATACAGACCAAACGGGATACATAGACAGTGCTCAAAAATAATAAGAAAGATAAACACATCAAAGCATTTTTTTTTTTAAGAGCACATTTCTCTGCTTGCAAACACAGAATAGAAAGTTTCACACCACAAATATTGCAGAGAGATGGAAGACGCTAAAGATCAAGCACGCTTTTCATTCGACCTTATATAAAACCTTTTTAACATGAGAGATACTTGAACCAGACACAGACAGGAGGAAGGAAACACCGGTGCACCTGATGGAAATCAGAGAAGTTTACTTAGAATTTCAGATTTTGTCAAGCTTCTCTGCTTTCACAACCGGGTTTGCCTTAGCTATCGCTTCTTGCGCAGCAGCATGGTAATTGAAGGAGCAGTCATGTATGTCTGCATAGCGGTGTGTCCCGCAGAAGAGGTTACCACAGCGACATTTGAATCCAGTCAGGCCAACCCGCTTATTGCAAGTAGTACATCGGCTTGGTCCCTTTGGTTTTGCAGCTTCTTCTGGTGCTACTACCTCTGCTACGACTTGGACAGAGGATGGCTGTACAGAAACAGTCATCGGCTCAACGGATTTGGTTTCAACATCGACCAACGCAGCAGTAATGGTTTCCTTTATGAGGTTGCTGGATGATGATGTTCCAGACACTGCAGATGCAAACTTAGCCCCCTGTTCCTGTTCAAACAACATATCCTTGTGACACTTCGAACACATGTTCATTGTGGCAGCGCTTCCGAAGAAACCGCAATTGTTGACACATAGCTTGGGACCTTCAGGTGGACTTTGGCATCCTGTCTTGTCGTGGTCCATTTCTAAACATAAAAACAGTCATCATCAGTCTCAGTAACATTGAAAAGAGAAACACAATTCTCAAAAGTTTCACTATGAATACACGTAAGCCCGACAATTGCCTTATAAAATCAATGTAAAAACACAAGCAGATGAACAAATTCTTTTCATGAAATAACTTATCGCATACCTTATACATGATCTTCATAGTCTATAACCACACTACCTATAAGCCCCTTCCTATATAGTTCAGGATCTCAACTACGTCGAATGAAGAGAAAAAAAAAAAAGTAAACCTGGAACTATTTTTCTGCTAACACTAGAACCTGAAAACACAAACAGATCTTACTAAAACCTGATTTCAAATCATAAGCTACCCAACCGAACAATAGTGTCTAAGCTACCTCGCAGCTAGTTCCACATATATTAGGCAAATTAGAAGCATAAATGAATCATTTTTAAAACAGTAGAGTAACTAATCTTATTTCTATCCAACACTACAAAGATATTAGCTTCTTATATCAGCATAAAGCTAAGAACTTTCAAAGCAATTCATTTCAAACTTCTAAAACATGCAACACCCACATACTTAATCTAATTTCCATCTAACACTACCTTTCTTCTTAGAAGTGAAAGGTTACAACTTTCATAGCAATTCATTTCAAAATTCAAAAGCATACAATACCCACATAGCTAATCTCACTACTATCCAACACTACCTCTCTTCACAGAAATGAAAATGTTCAAAATTTAGCCTTTAAAATCAGAAATCAAAGTAACAACTTTTCACATCAATTCATTTCAAATTTAAAAAACACAGCAAACCCACATGCAAATATTACCCAACAATCAAAGAACCATAAAAAAGAATTCACATCAACAGCTTAACCCTAAATAAAATACCAAAAGCTAATTCACCTGTTTCTGCCCTTGAAGCCTTGATTGATAGATCCCTAATCAATAAAAAAAGAGACAAAACCCCAAACACATAAGTTGACAGAACAGAATCGAGAAATCAAAATCGAAATGGAAATGAAAATGAAAGTCGAAATCAAAATCAAGACCCAAAAAAGATTATAAAGGTGAAAGCAAAATACAGAAGAAGAGAAACCCCTTACCCTACGAATCTCTCCGAACAAGATCGTGTCTGCTGGAGAGATCCAGCAGAAGCTGAGAGGTAGAGGAGAGAAAGAAAGAAAAAAGGTCGGCTTTTTAGGCTTTTTTTTTGTTTCTCTCGACGATTTTTTTTGTAGCGACGTTTATATTTTCGTTTCACACCGTTTGTGCTAGAGTCGTCTATGACGTGTACGTATCTTATTGGCTCTTTCTTTTGATTTTTTTACTCCTTTCAAATTTCAATTCATTTCACCTTTTTTGAAAAAAAAGAGTTACTAATGCTGACTCGCTTTTTTTGAAACGGAAACTAGAACCTACATTTTTCAAGAACATAATAATATAACCATATTCTTTTTTTTTTTGTGGCTATTGTTTGGTAAATGTTTGTAAATTCTTATATAAAAATAGTTTTTATATTTTGAAAGCTAATCTATTAAAAGAAAATAAGTAACATACTGTAGATACCAATTTATGATCAAATCTCTTTTTTTTTTCTTGCTTAGTCTTTTTTTACTTTCTCATATTTTGGTATCTTTCAAATTAATGGAAAGAGATTTGTGGTGAATTTGGTGATATTTGCTAATACTAAGTTATTGTTTATAAGTAAGTCAATTTATAAAAACAAAAAGAAAATCTTCAATTTTACTCAACGTAATTAGCTATTAACTATTGTAATATTTTTAGTTGGTTCAGGTTATTTGTTAAGAAAAATAGAACATATGTTACTAAATATTCTTTTTATTTATTAATTATAATATTTAATTTACCAAAAATTTTAATCACAAATTATATCATGATCAAACCAATTGCCAAACATATATAAATACTACTAAACTTACCATAATTATATATTTGAATTAAACTAATATAAACAAATACTAAATGCATTTCAACACCATCCAAATTCTTTTCTAAATTATAATATTACATGCCTAAACATATGAATAAAGTAAATGGTATCTTATTTGTAAAATATGATCCATTCAATAAGTTTAGTTATTATGGGGGGGGGTGGACAGCCCTTCATTTAACCAATATAAATTATCTTTCAAAATAAATAAATTAAAAAGATATACATTTTTTGGTAAAATCTTATAGATATGTATTCCTCTATCTATTTATTTATTTATATAAAAGTATGCTTATAAAAACTAATATGTGCTATATATGTGTTTATATATATGTATATAAAAGTATGCTATATAAGTATGCTTACAAAAACTAATATGTGTGATATATATGTTGTATATATATATATATATATATATATAATTATATATCTATATTTTCATTAAAAATTATTAAACCATTGATATGCTATGGTACCATTTCGATTCAGAGATCCAATGATCTAGGAAAAACTTCAGTTTAATTTTTGAGTTGTGGTGAAATACATATTATAAAATAAAACACAACCACTTTCTATCTTTGAAACATAGTGAATTTTTTTTAATAAACTATTTTAATTATAAACAGTATTATATATAATTATATGGTATAATTATAAAATTCATTCGAGAATGGCTCGGATTCTTACCTAATTGTTATAAAATGAGTGTCATTTGAGAAGAAAACAGATTAGCTTTGTGGTTCGTTATTTGAATACTCATAATCAAATCATACATATAAACGTAAGGTTCCACTCTCTTCTTATTGGTCCACTTGGCAATTCATTTTCTAAAAGTAAAAAAATATAAATCCACACTTTAATATCAAATTATAACTGAAATCATAAATATTATGTATTACTTTTTTTCATCCACTCAGTGTCATTTAAATACACAATTATTATAATTGTAACTGCCATAATTGATCATATCTAAATGAAACTTCCATCACTTCTTATCCTATAAATAATCATTCTCTCATTCTCATCCATCATATCTAAAATTATAAATATTTTGTTTTGTTTTTTATGATATGCATGAGTTGAAAAATCAATTAAGACATCATTGTTAGAGTTTTCACTCTAATTTTATTTCTTTTGTAATTTTCTTATCTTTTAGTTCAAAATTATATATGTACTTCAAAAATGTAAATATAGATATCTAAAGGTCCTTCGTCATCAGTCTGCAGCAAACAATTTTCCTCAAATCCCAAAACAAAGAGAGAAATAAACACTTTCAAAAACACACAAAAGTACATACCAATTGTAAATGATGGGTATCCGGGAGGGCTGAAACTCTGCGAGTTTACCTAATTCTGCAGATAATCCAAGATGAATATCTTGAAATTCATCTAAGAGTAATATGTTATTATCCTTCACGGTGAAAAGAGCATCAGAAGTTGTTGTAATAATAATTTTCAAATCATTTAGATGGAAATCAACCATTCTTCATATGATTGAAATCAATAGTTTCTAGACAGAAGTATATATTGAAGTGAAATCAAGCTCAAATCAAAATTCCTCATGATTTTCCAGCAAAATCGAAGAGAAATAGAAGTGAATTGATGTGGACGAACGAAATAAATGAAAAAATCCTAGCATAACATTTGGGAATCTTTTTAAGGACTGTCGAGAAGTCACAACTCACAATAAATTAAATAACTTTGCATTAATATCATTGAACGACTAAGGCAAATACATTATTTTTGTGAAGATATAATCAATCAATTCGTTTAATCAGTTAGGCTAATGATCAAAAGTAATAATATATAGGATATCATGTTGTCATAAAAATAAGTCTTAACAAGAAAATCAATCCATTATATCAAGATAAATAAACCAAATCGTATTATAAATTTTGTTAGTTGGACCATATGGATACTGACGATAATATTGGTAATATCGTTGATAATGGTCTATGAATATTAAAGAAAAAACAAATTTATATAAGCTCCATTTTAATACCACACAATTGTTAAAAATTATGATATGCTTTATTTGTACAAAAAAAAAAACAATTTTGATATATGAATAGCTAGCAGTTGACCTGATTTTACAAGATAAAATATTGTAATAAATAAGAAAGATATTCGAGATTATTAATTGTATTGGATTAGTTGGTTATTGTGAATCTTGAACGTAATGTGGATTCTTGCATGCTTTCGATATAAATTCAAAAATTTTAAACATGAACTAATAATAGTGACTCAAACTGATCATAATTTAAAAAATTAATCAATATCAATAATTACTCTACATGTTACATATTGTTTAGTTGCTTACAAAATCATACAAAATCAAATATCTTCAATTTTCTTGTTGTTTTATCACAAACTACACTAGTATAAATAATTTCTCAAAGTCATTTGAAATAACTTTTGAAACCTTCGGGTCTTGTAACCATAGGCAAACATGTCACATAAATATTTATTTCTCTATCTTTTTGTTGAACCACAGTGAAAGAAAGGAAATTTTAATAAAAACTAGTAAGAGGTTAAGAAAAGTGATTTTGTTACAAAATTTATATATATATATATATATATAAGAAAACAATACATAAAAACTCTTTATGTACAAGTATATGAAAAATATTGTACTATACAGCTTGTGTAAGATTGTTATAATATACATCGAGCATACAATATTAAACTGAAATAGAAAAACTCTAACCCTACCTAGTAAATCGAACGTTTAGATATTTACAATAGATAAATAGTCTTCTCAAAGTGAGGATTTGATTAAAATCTCTAAGAATGATACAAGATTTGGTGTTTGGAGAAGTCGAAGAAGTTATACACTACTATTATCTTACAAAATAGTGTTCTACGGGCATTTTTTTCTATAAATGAATGCAATAGTGAAATAAGTGTTATTTCTATGTGAGTAAACGCGTAAATCACCATTTGCTCTGAATGTTCTAGTAGATAGGGACAGATCTTAAGCTACCCATATTTTTTCATTCTTGTAACATCCATAGTTAATGTTGAGAATTAATGATGAAGTTCAAAACAAAGGAAGAAGCTCGAAGGAGAAGCAATGCCACCTCAGTATTGCCACGCATATATGCAAGATCACAAGACAAAGAGTAGCCGTTTTGCTTAGCTCATAAAAGCAAAAGTAAAGAGCAAAAGCAACTCTTGTCTGTTTATGAAAGTTGCATGTTTTGGTTGAAATCAATATGAATTGGGATGCAGCCAAAAACCAAAAAGGCAATTTCGTGGAAGCTTCATAAGGAGACTAGGTCTAGATTATGTGTAAGTATATAAGTTGTGCATAGGCAAAGAGATAGACATAAGAAAGTAAAGAGAACTTCATTCATTGTGTTAGTTTCTTTGAGAGTTCTTGGGGAAACAGTTGAGTGGTAGAGAGTGAATCTGAGAGAGAGCTTTGTAAGGGGCTTTAAGGGTGTGAGATCTCTTCTAAACACTCAGTGATATAGTGGATTCCGGAAAACATTTTTCGGTCCAAACGTAACTACCCTTACGGGAGTGAACTGGGTAAACAAAACTTTGTGTGCTCTGTTTTGTTCTCTGTGTTTAACAAACAACTTCGTGTTACTTCTCAAGCTTAGAGTTTTGTGAACTTTCAATCTCTAAAATCACTTGAGACCTTGGTGTGTAGTTGATTCAAGGCAATTAGGCCTCTGTTTCACTAAAGTTAAGTTGTCATTCTTGATTTCTTGTAACGGTCAGAAACTCATATATAAGTCTACTATCTCCGTAACATTCTCCTTACAAATGTATGTTTTGAAACTCCTCCCAAAAAGGCCTGTGCTCTGTGACCCAAGAATTAAGCTTCTTTTTCCATTTTTGGTTGTTGAGGAACTTGAGAGTTGAAGCCCTTCGAAAAGAAATAACACACTGACTAAATAGAGCTAAGAACGGCCTATTCCCCCCTGAACTATGTTGCTTTATCGCTTCCATACACAGAACTTTCATCTGTGCTAAAACCCGCATGAACTTAGATTTAATTTGAATTTTCATCACAAACTATTTAAATCCGGTGGAAAACCTCAAATCGTTAGACGGTGTTACTGTTCCGTTAACGGATGCTGACGAGGACGACACGTGAGCGTTTAAAACGACTGCGTTTTGGACACGGTGGAATCTCATTAGACAACGAAACATAACAACGTCGTTTTGATTTGCACAAAACGACGTCGTTTTGTGATTTGGGGGTTTTAGTAGTCGAATTAGGGTTCATATTTCCTTTATCGAGCCAAATCGAAAATTGAGAGGAAAAGCGAGACTGAGAGAGACGAAGATGGGTGATAAAGGAAGAGGGATTCCAAGTCGATGTAGATGTGGAGAGGATGTAGTTTTGAGGACATCAAAGACTATAAAAAATCCAGGGAGGCTCTTTTATGCTTGTCGATATGGAGAAGAGGTAATGATATTGTAGTGTAATTGAGGTTAAATTATGAGCAATGACTGAATTGTATTTTTGTATGTTGCAGAATGGTCGTGGTCACTTGTTTAAGTGGACAGATGAAACAATTGTTGAAGAGATGGAAGACATAATTCCGAAGATTGATGAACTTGAAAGAGCTTCATTGACATTTCAAAAAGGTTTACAAGCTTTAGAATCTGAGATGGAAACTCTTGCAATGGAGACTCGTACATGTGAAGCTGTTGTATGCGGTTTTGAGAAGGAGCTGCGGGGTTTAGAGAAGGAGATTCAAGGCTGCAAGATGGAATTGCGTGGTTTGAAGAACATTCTTGTGTGTGTAGTGTTGATGGTTCTTGTTTATGTGTTTGTGTGTTAGTGATTCTGATTATGGTTCTTGTTAATGTGTTTGTGTGTTAGTGTTAGTGATTCTGATTCTGGTTCTTGTTTATGTGTTAGTCAGACAATATATTATGTAATGGGAAATTATGCATAATTTGAAAACAGAAGTATCATTTGGTTACAAAAACCTTAATCCATAAGTCAACATAACATTAATCCTAAAGATACATAACCAAAATATTATCCGAATCCTCTAAATGCTCTCTTATAAAAACTTTCAGAGCACCTTCACTCCTAAAAACCTTCCTTCCATCAGACCCTGCAATCCGTTTTAACAACCTGCAACAAGAAGGAAATAACTTAAAATCTGAATCTCATATACTTAATCTATATTATAGAGCATCATCTACAAACCTAAGAGTTTAGTCAATGACTTGGCTTTGTGTTGGCTGACTTGATGATCCTACTGTTGCACTCTCTTTAACCTTATTTGGACGTCTATAAGGAGCAGGTCCAAAGAATTGGCACTTCCTTGTGTTATGCCCTTCTCCACCACATATTCCACAATGAATTATTCTCTTCTTTCTAGAAAGTTTAAGCTCCTTCTCTTTGCCTTTGCTCTTCTTCTTTTGTGGTGACTCATTCCTCTCCTTGATTCTTTTTGGGATTCTCTTTCTACCTTCTGGTTTTGGTGGTAACAAAAGCTCAGTCTCACCGGATTTCCTCCAGAAGTTGCAGCCTCTTACCGCATCTATATATGCACTGTACTCATTTCTCCACCTAGAAGTCAAATACCAAGATGAAATGTAGTTTTTCGGATTCAATTTCTTGTCTATAATCACCGTCAAAGCATGACGGCAAGGAATGCCTGACATGTCCCACTTCCTGCAACTGCAAGAATGCTTGCCCATGTATAACTGGAATGATGATTTCTTCTCTTTAACCTCATACTCACCTGGACCAGCAGGCCATGCCTTACAGTTTACGATCTTCTTCATCTCCAATTGCAGCCTCTCCATCGCATTTATACTATACTTGCCTTTGTGATTTTTTGCCTTCTTCCTTCTGAGATCTATTCGGATCATTGCTCTTCTCCGGATGTAGTTTTGCTTTTATTTCTTTTCAGTCATTGCTCATAATTTAACCTCAATTACACTACAATATCATTACCTCTTCTCCATATCGACAAGCATAAAAGAGCCTCCCTGGATTTTTTATAGTCTTTGATGTCCTCAAAACTACATCCTCTCCACATCTACATTGACTTGGAATCCCTCTTCCTTTATCACCCATCTTCGTCTCTCTCAGTCTCGCTTTTCCTCTCAATTTTCGATTTGGCTCGATAAAGGAAATATGAACCGTAATTCGACTACTAAAACCCCCAGATCACAAAACGACGTCGTTTTGTTCAAATCAAAACGACGTTGTTTTGTTTCGTTGTCTAATGAGATTCCACCGTGTCCAAAACGCAGTCGTTTTAAACGCTCACGTGTCGTCCTCGTCAGCATCCGTTAACGGAACAGTAACACCGTCTAACGATTTGAGGTTTTCCACCGGATTTAAATAGTTTGTGATGAAAATTCAAATTAAATCTAAGTTCATGCGGGTTTTGGCACAGATGAAAGTTCTGTGTATGGAAGCGATAAAGCAACATAGTTAAGGGGAATAGGCCGTTCTCCCTAAAGTTATGTATAGAGACATAATAAGCAATAATTATGCACACTTTTCACTTACACTCACACTCAGAAATAAGTATGTATAATGAAATGAAAATATAGGAACAATAAATTTTCAATTATAAATTACGAATACAAGTTTGAGAAATTAGTCAGAAGGGTTAGCTTTTAAACAAAATTTGGGCACTTTCTAATCTTACTATAGTACCCATACACTAACCCTCGAGAACTCTGTTAAGCGCCGTCTACAAGTTTATCATCTTCGCCGTCAAAAGTAAGAAATAAAACCCTAAATCCTCTACTAATCAAGAAGACTCTAGCCGATCCTATTACTTGTAGAAATTAAAGTAGCTAATTATTCCATACCCTACCTTGCCTCGCAAGAAACACAGAAATATCATCTTTTATTCATTCCACATCGTGAAAACACCTCCTGGATTCGTTCCTTGAACAGATTCTCCGGTATTCCATCCTCCGTACCCTGTAGCTCCACCGGAAGGAGGCATATCGTAATCGACTTTCACAGCCGGAAACTCTTCCTCAGCCGATGATCCAACGGTCGAGGTTGACCCAATACCAATCCCATTGTTTCCAAGAAACCCTGAAGTGTTGTTGTTATCAGAGATAAAGCCATGAAGCAAACCAGGGTTACTCTGAAGATAAGCATTATAGAGCTGCGAGCTATGACTAGAAGACTGCAAGTAATTGTTGGTTTGTTGTTGGTGAAGATGAAGCTGCGTCTGAATGTAACTATAGGAATCATGATACTGAGAGATATCGTTGTTGTTCTGTAGAGTAAGTAAAGGCTGATGATGATGAAGATGCTCAAAAGGTTGTTGAATGCTTAGTGGATAAGGTTGAAGCTGAAGCCTAGAGCTGGAAGCAACAGAGCTCGAGCCGCTTGCTGCACCATACTGATGAAAATTTGATCCGAGGGCTATCATTTCCTCGCGTTTTCTCGATGATTCTAGAGCTTGAGCTTCTTTGAGCCGTTTAGCCGCACCACCTCCTATAGGAAGTGTGTTGCTCTCTAGGATGGCTTTCACGTCATACCGATTTATCTCAAAGTTTGTAACCGCGTTTAGACCTCGAAACTTTATCGCAGCTATGTCATAAGCTTCTGCTGCTTCTTCCTCCGTGCCTGAGCAAAAGATATGAATATAAGCATGACCATATATCTAATTAGGCGTGTGAGTGGTTAAATCACATAATTTTTCTATAAAATAAAATTGATTTTTTTTAAAATATAATATATTAAACTTAATCTTTAAATCTAGTGATCTCTATATAATTTGAAACGGTATTGTATATGATTTGAGAGAATTATATATAAGCACGGTAAGCATTTATTCTTACTGAATGTTCCCAAGTATAGATCTTTGTTTCCAGCAACTCGGCCTATCCTTGCTTGCCATCTTCCATGTTGATGATGCCTTGTTACTCCACGATACATCGATGCACCACGCGAGAATCCGCTACTTTTCCTGCACTTGTTTACGGGAGGTTCTTTGATTAGAAAGTTTTTTATTTAGAAATCTTTGATTAGAAAGTTGCTACTTCTATTTAAAGTTTTACATTCAAGGTCTGATCAAAAGGAAAATCACCTTCTTATAGAAGCAACAAACTCTTGTCTCGTCATGTTTTTCATCTCCTCTACTTCCTTCTCGTAGTTAGTTATCTAAAATATGCGTTCAAAAAAAAAACAAGGAGGAACTAACGATATTATCAACCATTATTATGATTACAATTATACGTATATTCATGAAATTTTGAAATAACTTACCGGAAAGTTGGTAGTAGTAGAGGGACCCCAATATTTAAGTGCAGCTAGATCATATGCTCTGGCTGCTTTCTCTTCTTTGTCATACCCACCTGAGTTTATAGTCCGGTTAAACCAACCATTCTTCAGTATACATTACGCTAAATCAAAATTCAATCAATTACAAGAGAAAAAAGAATCATTTATATACTCACCTAAGTAGACTGTAGATATTTCGAAGAAGTCCAAGCATCAAGAACATAATAATAATTAGTCCAAAATCAAGATTTCGATCGAGAGGATCGGAGACCAAAAGAGGAAATAAATTGAAGTAATTAATCAAATAAATGATTAGACTTACCTTGTCTTCCTTTCCTTGATTGTCCTTCTCTTCTACAGCTATTATCCCAAAGATGAGCTTCATATCTACCGGTCCATCTATGTCTATACATAACACCCCCAAAAAACTAAGTAACATATTTATATACCCATTTTATTATTATACACACAAAAAAAAAAGAGATATCTTTATTACCTTGTAACTCCACGATAGATAGAGGTTCTTTGTCCAAAAGTTTCCAAAGTCCGTCTCGGTGTAGCCTCAACGATGGCTCCTCCACTTGTGTTGGTAGTGCTGCTACTATTATCGGCGCTAGTCTCAGCTGGCGAGGCTTTCACAGTGGCAGCTTCGGCAGCGGCAGCTCCAGTACTTCCCATAGAAAGAGTGAGAGATTGCAAATTGTGTGCACTCTCTTGAAGCTCATAGTTATTAGGAGTATTAGAGGCACAAGTGACGACTGTAGGTAACAAGCTATTGGTTTGGAAGTAGTAGTCTGAGTCGTTGGTTTGATGAATGTCGTTGTAAGGTACAAGGTTGTGATCGGGATGATGATCCCCCGATTTGCTCACTCCTAAGAAATCAGCCACTTTTGGAACCTCTCCACCTTCGCCGCCTCCACCGTGTGGATTGATCATATTCCATTCTAAGAAAGCATACAATTAATTATTTTTTTGAATACACAAAACAAAAATTTGTAAAATATCCAAGACAATATACAGTATAAATGAACATTACTGTCTCTAAACATGTGCAATGATGCTTTCGATTTTACATATGTCTAAAAATTTGAACCCTTAGTTTTTAAAAGCTTTTTGAAATAACAAATAGGAGTATATGTTTAATAAAAAAAATTGCATTAAGGCCTTGAATATGAACATACATATACATAAATGTGAGTGCATATACCTTGGTTTTGAAAAGGGTTGTCGATATTGTCGTTGACCAAACCTAGATTGAAATGAGAAGTTTGTGAAGAGTGAATGTGAGGAGGCAAAGAAGAGTGAGTTGGTGATAGAGGAAAAGCAAGCCAGTTGTTAGAATTCATTTCCCTTTTTTTTGGAATCAAAGCTTAAATCAGTGAGGTATATTTGATCTGCAATGATAGGAATTGAGAAAAAACAAACATAATTAGCAACGTATCAAAAGATTTAAGAGTCGCAATTTTGGTGAAGAAATCTTGGAGAGAGATTACTTGTCAAGGATTGAGGAGAGGAAGAGATCTAGTTCTGCTTTCTCTAAGGATGGCTGCAAACAAAATCCTTGCCTTACTTTCTCTCTCTAAAAACTCTATATCTCTCTCTTTCTCTCTCTAAAAACTCTATATCTCTCTCTTTCTCTCTCGTAACTTGAAGGTTTAAACAAAGGAGAAGAAGATTTGTGTTTAAGTCTTAAAGATAATTTTTAGGAAGCTAAACAGGTTTTTTAAAGTTAAACCTGTTACATGGCTCGCTTTAAATGTTTTTTTAATCTTTTTATGATCTCATCAAGGAGGGATTGATGTAAATTAATTATCAACCATTAGATCAAAGATGCAAGTATATGTATAGAAATATAGTAGAATTTTATTAAGTATTATTCACCACCACATATTATAAATAAAATAATACATTGAACGGACTTTAAAATAATGTTGGCACACAAAGTGACTAAAGATTAATACAAATATTACACATCTTTATAGTACTAAATAAAAAATTTGTTTGGCAGATCTGTATATGATATTGCAATAAATAGGGACACGAGTGTCGTAAATAAGACAAATCTACGCTTCCAACAAGAAAAAGTCCAAACCCTAAGTCTCTCTCTCTCTCTAAAAACCAAAAAAAAACAAACTAAAATCACCTCTCTCTCTCTCTAAATTACCCACTTGGATTATTGGAACTCACGTCCCTCGTTTAATGGGATTAATGACTCCCCAAAGCCCAGCATTCCCACACTCCGCAAATCATCTCTTACCATTGACCATATTCTCTCTCTCTCATTTTTACATACACATGTACTTACATATCCATATACATGTGTACGCACAAGGCTACGTATTCGTATACTTCTACGTGTTCACATACATGCAATCTCATTGAAACCACCCAAAGATAATATACATAAAACAACAATTGGATCGAACTTCTTAAATTATAGTATATTTGTAGATCCCCGAGTTCACTGAATGTGTGTACGGACATGCAATATTATAGTATGAGATAGACGTAAAGATTAAATTATTAACAAAGCACATTTGGTAAGAGTAAAAGTCACTCTTCGTTCAAAATAATTTGAATATAAGTGAGAAGAAAAAAAGGAATAATAACCTATTTATATATTTTTTTCTTCTGTATATATTCTGTAAAAAGAAAATTATTAAATGAGAAAAGAATTGGGGTGGGATTTTGTTTTGGCTTTCCCGAGTTAAAATCTGTTGACCGATTAATTGGATTTCGCACCCGTCAAAGAGAGATATTGTTAAGTGATTTCAAATTAAATAAAAATAAAACAATATTTAAGAGTTAAAAGAAACAATTACTTATGTCCTATGCACACTAGAAGCTTGTATTGTGCTAGGACTTAGGAGCCAGTTCTTTGTTTAGTCGCATGCCTTTGTGGCATCCAGAACACCGTTCCTAATTTCCTATTATTGTATGTGTACATAAATTAATAAATATATCTAATTTAATGTACATTCACCGTAGAGAGAATCAGTCAATATTTAACACTCAAAACACTATACATCCTCTTCAACAAGAAAAGAAATCAAGTTCCCATGCATGTGAAGTATTATAGAATTTATAGCATTCGTTTTGGTACTAATTAAATTTATAATTTTGGTTTAGTATTCTACTTCATAATATATATATATATATATATATATATATATATCCAAAATATTACTCCCTCCGTTTCATAATATAAGACGTTTTAGAAAAAGTTTTTTGTTTCACAATATAAATCGTTTTCGAGTTTCGATGCAAATTATATATTACTTTAATATTTTATGATTATTTATATTATGCGATCTATTTTATGATTAGTTGAATTTTTTAAAAGTAAATATTCTTAACCGGCGTGCTTTTACCTAAAACGATTTATATTATGAAACAGAGAGAGTATATAGGTATCCAATAATCCACATTTTTAACTGAGAAAAAAAAAACAATCTCAGATTGATGTCATATAATATGTACTTCAAAATGAGAGTAACTGTTACTATTATTAGTCATCCTAATAATAAGAGGAAACTTTAAACTTTTCAAGAAAAAAAATTTTGAATTGAAAACAAAAGTACAGACACGTCTTTCTTTTAAGACATGCAAATCATAATTACAATGTTTTATAATATAAATGCAAACGCAAAAACAAATGTTCGAATATCACATTATTTTTTGAAAAAAAAAATTGACTATGTGCCAAATGAACCAATAACCCTATATATATATATATATATATATAGCAAAAATTAGCGGAGGGAGATCAATGAATTGAGGAAACATGATCTATCTTTTTAGTTATCAACATAAAAAGAACAAATATCTGTGCCAAACGATGTAGTTTAACATAAACATTTAATTTCCCATTGCCAGAAAAAAAAAAAAAAAGGTTAGGGCTCCCACAATATATATAGGCCGCTTCAAATTCTATTTATCTTTCTCTTTCTTAAATATGTATTAAAAATGTCAATTTGTGTAACGAAATTTCTATATAATAAAATTTCTATTAAAAAATAATAAGTTTCATTTTTTCGCTTTCTTCCAAACTGAACTTACTCAGAGTTCAGACTGCTGCCTCTGAAATAGTTAATGCTCCTAGAATCTAAAGAATAATAATCAAATAACGATATAGTGTAACAGTGATCAACTGGTCATATGATTGAATATGTAAGGAAACAGTGATCATATGATTCATACTATTTTAGAAGATTTCAAGTAAAACAACGCAGAAAAAAGGAATCACCTGTTGCCATTTTACAACATTTTCCCGCCAAATTAATTAGAACCCTTTCCCTAAATTTAAGATTAAGGAAACGGTGAGTTTGACTGAAAATTAATGTCTATATTGATAATTATTCCCGACAAATTACAACTGCGATTATCTGCTACGCATATCCGAATATAGTTAATTAGTTACTTAATCATGCAAATGACACAACTGTAAATATATACTAGTAAAATGTCCAAAGAGCATTGACACTTTATTTTCTTAAAAGTCTTCGGTTCTAAATTTTTATTTGTCAGAGAATAGAAGTCCTTTTCTTTAAAGTACTCACCAAACCAGGAAAAAAAAACAACTTTCATTCAAATACAACAACAAAAAGATAGTAGGAATCAGACAAAAGAAGAACAAAGTAAAAAACAAAAGTGAAAAAGGTTTTATGACAGAAATAGATAAATTGAGTGATTAGGAAAAGAGTAAATAGATTGAGTGATTAGGAAAAGAGTAACTCGATCCATTGAAATCAATACAATAATAACACTAGGTTTCTCTCCTGGGTTGACACATCAGCTTTTTCAGCTGTTCTCAGCCTGACACATCATTAAAAAATTTGTCCAATAAAATTATAACATTAATACAGCTCAATTTTGTTATCCACTAATATCATTTCTCCTTCCACGTACGTCATTCTCTCTCTCTGTTTCTAGCCTTTTGTTTCGATTTGTTTGGTTCTAAGAACTTGCACACGATTTACTTAGGATACTTATCATTTGATTGATCTGATCAATGGTTTATGTTTTGTGATTTATCTGATAATGAGTCTTTGACCTGTGTCGACTACAACTACGGTGAAGTTTAGGAGCTGTGCTTGGATTAATTCTTTTTTTTTTCTTCGAATTTCTATTGTGTTTGTGAGAATTTGATATATTAAGAATTTTGATATAATTAGTTTGTGACGGAGAGATTTAGCTTTGATGATTTGTGTATTTTGGTTTCATGTGAGATTAGCTATGTGCGTTATATTTGGCTGTCAAGTTTCTGAAATTGTAATTTGCAAATTCTTGTCCTCTATGTTGCTGATTTTGGTGATTAGCTTATGTATGAGATTGTTATACTTGGCCTCTGTATGTAGCTGGGTGTGAGATTAGTTATGTGTTATATTTGGATCTGTTCTGTAATGCACACCAAGTGATCGACGAAATTCCAGAGTTGAAATCAACATTTCATCATTAGAGAAGCAAGTACAGAGGCTTTTGAAGAGAAGATCGAGCAAAACGAATCAGATATTGAGTCTGCAAATTCTTCTAAGTCAGAACAAATGTCATTGATTTGTGATAGCTTGAGAAAGAGGAACAAACGGTTTAGAATATTTGGCTTGGAATCATGCTGGTTGTCGTGGTGGTTTTACTGGCTGGTTTAGATTATAGGATTGAAATCTTGAAGCTAGAATGAAGTAGGACTGTCTTGGGTTGGATAAGGATGGGTTCATGGCTGCAATTTTCTGGTTTTGATGAGCGCACACAAGATTTTGAAATGTGAGTAAGAGGAGACATAAGAAAATTGAGTTATTCGTGGTAGTGGAATGCTTCGAACTCAAGGTAGTATCAGCCAAGAGGACGACTTAAAGAGTAGACTTTTAAGAATTTCCATGTAATTAAGTTGCTACAAAGACAAAGTGTTAAATTACTTGCACATACAAAAAAACAAAATGAAGTCACTGTTTATGCCATTGATTTCACACTCAAGTGGAAGATAAGATTAAGCCTAAACCAAGAGATCTTACGTGTAACTGATTCCATTAACCGAACTTAATTGTCGAGAGTTGATTTGTGGTGTTCGTTCGTAGTGGCTGCTTAGTTTATTATTGAGGTTATTGAACCTAAACCATGTGATCATCAATAAAATTGTGGTGTTATTAAATTATGAGTTCGTTTGATTATTAAACCAGATCTAATTGTGGTGTTATTAAATTATTAGATTTTGTTTGGCTAATGGATGAGAAGTACATGTAGCAAGTATGTTTTAAGTAGTTGTTGGAAGATAATTTTTCTTCGTCATGAGACAAATTAGAGGAGTTAAGTGGGCAAGTAAACCCAGACTTTTAATGAGACAAAGAGGTCACAAAAGGAGAAGTAGACTAAGCTCTCCAAGTACAAGATTACCTCTAAGGGAGCTATGTGATACTCTCCAAGTATAGGCCTGAATAAATCTCACAGTCATGTTTGTTCTTCGTGGTGAATAGAGCCATCCATTCATATCACAATGATCTTGCT